ACAGTGGGTCTAGAAAGTATATTTCTTCTTATATTACTTTGCTCTCTCTTTTTAAAAATATTTATTTATTATTTATTATTTATTTATTTTGACAGTAGAGAGACAGGGGAAAGGGAGAAAGCAAACCACCAGGTCCAGGATTTGACCCGCGGTCGGCCATGTGGGCATCCAGTGCCGTAACCACCATGCCACCTTCCAGTCCTGTTGGGCTCACTCTCTCGCTCTCTCTCTTCCAGAGGGTGTGTGCTTTTGCTAGAGCGAAAATGAGAGCGAACCCCCACCGCCCATGAGCAATGGTCTCGCTCCAATCCCTTCTGCATTCCTCCATCCTGACAGGCTTCGAGGCTTGCGTGCACGTGTGCCTGATGTGTTTTCAAGCCTGTGGGGAGAGGCTCGATCTGTCACCAGCCGTGGGGGATCGATCGGCTGACCGCTGAGCTCTGCGCTGGCCTGTGGCACTTGCTGTAGGAGTCACCCTATTGCTGCTTTTTTGTGGCCTCAGTCTCCCACGACCTCAGCATTTGTAAGCCTTGTCCTCATCTTATGCCATCAGTTGTTCGCAAGGAGGTGGTGACGAGTGTGCTCGCTCCACAGTGAGAGAATTTAGCACCGTGTGAGCAGCTCGCCCGAGAGAAAGAGAGAGAGAGAGAGAGAGGCTCTCGGCAGGCTGGCCATGCCGATTCCCTCCCTTTCCCCAGCTCTCTGGCTCGCCAGGATCTTGGGTGTGCACGCCCTGGCACATACTGGGCAGATGGGATCCAACCACATGGTCGGCTGTGCCCGTCACTTTTCTTTTCCCACGAAACTTCTGTTTATGAAACCCACCTGCACGCCCTTGGCTAGCTCCTGTTTCAGCCGTGAGGACCCAGATCGTCAGGGTCAGAGGTCTGTGGTAAGCAGATAGAACAGGAAGTGTAACAGAGATAGTTCTGGTTCCGCTGCTCGAATCCCGTCACGTCTTACCGGTCCGTGAGTAGGGCACCTCTCGGACTACCTTGACTTCCTTTTAAAAACTAGCACCCCCATGGGGCCAGCAGACGGTGTGGTGGATAAGGGTGCTGAATTCCCACATGGCCGACCATGGTTCAAGTCCCAGACCTGGCGGTTTGCTTTCTCGCTTTCCCTTTCTCTCTCTCTCTCTAGTGGCCAAGTCAAAAAAACTAACAATAACAAATGGAATTAAATAAATAAATGATTCTTTAAAAATAATAAT